GTGCTGGCCATGGCGCTGCCACCGTTTGTGTCACCGCGGCGACCTCATCTCCCCCAACCAATCACAATCGTCCGATTCAAAATCAAGAGTCTAGATTAGAACGTACCCCTTCATTGGCTCTTTTGCAAAAATCCCATTACAATTATTTGAATCTTAACCTGTGGTCTAAAGCGCAATCACATATTACGTTTTCTTCTTTGAAAAGCATAGTTTCGTCGGTTTAGATCCAAAATACGTTTTCACTTATTTATAGATTTGCCACTGATTTTGTTTCAGCCATAACTTCTCCGTTTTAACTCCGATTTGACCCGTTCAACTTGCGTTAGGTTCGTAATTTCATAATATACATGTTGATACTACTGTTATGTATGTTTTCAACTTTTAAAATTCAAGGTTAGATTTAATCTATTATTTTAATAAAGAAAATCTTGTTTAATTCATATATTCTTCGTTTTAGCTCCGAATTGACCCGTTCAAGTTGTGCTAGATTCATTGCAATGAGATATACACATTAGTAACAATGTTTATCATGTCCCTATTTCTGGAATTTTATGGTTTAAACTTTAATTTGAATAATAATTATGCAACTGGATTTTATAAATAAAATATGATTTGTTTTAATTTAGTTTTATAATTCAGATCTAAATTTGACTTAATTTATATTATCTATAGAATATCTTATATATGTTTTTATATAGTTAAAACACATGAAGCTAAAAGTTTTATATTTTCTTTTATAAGTAGATCTTTCGGTAGATGTATCTTTTTTACCGTAGCTCCAATTAGAGTGCTTGTCGCGTCTGTATGTTCGTAGCAAGACATAGATTCGTTTAAGGCAAGTATAACATGGGATCTTCCTTGTTGTCCTATATACCTTTAATCATTTAATTCATACTACATGTGTCTACCTTGACTACCACTAAGGATTTCTAGTACTTTGTACCTTGTGCCTTGATACCTATGGGGTATTGCATTGGGTAGTTTGATGCTAGTGCTCAACTACAACCATGATCTTCTAGCTTGACTAATAGTATATGCAATAAACACTAAAAGATGCTTTTTAGCAATATGGAAATAGGGGGCTGGAGTGTTGAGCTACTTTCTAAATGCTATAGATTCCTCTTCCTAAGGACTTATCTGTAAGTGATCATCCGGGACTTACAGTTCAGCTGTGAGGGTTGTATGGCTCTGGCTTTTGCTCAATATAAGGACCTTTTCTAGCTTGTTAGTGGTTACCTTTATGGTGCAAGAGGGGCTCGGTTTGCATGATCTTGGTCTGCCAAGAGGGTGCGCTTTGGTTTCTTTGTATTTTGTTAGTTACTCCTTGGAGGGGGTTCATGCTTACTGATGGGGAAACCTTAGTGGCCCTAACTTGTTAGACGAACCTTTGAAAGGCTTCATAGTGAACCCTATCGACCTTCCTTGGTACTGGGTCAAGAGGCTCGCGACCTCGGGCGAAAGGGTAAATGACGACTCACAGTGAAAGTGTACAACCTCTACAGAGTGTAAAACTGGTATATCAGCCGTGCTCACGGTTACGAGCGGCCATGAAACATTTACGGAATAGATGATGAACACTAATGATATAGATGATGAAGATGCTCACTAATGATTACTGTTTATGCTATTCATTATTCATATTTACCTGATCATGTATTTATATGGGCTTGTGATAAACTTGCTGCTACTCAATTGCTAAAATCATGACTCATTAAAAGCTAATCGCAGTTAACCAGTGTCAGCCTTTTGAGACTCATAAACCCTATGTTATATTTGTTGAGTACGACATATACTTACGCTTGCTTTATTTTTCACATATTTGGATAAAAATTCCGGATAAGTACCAGATTGCTAGAGTTTGGAGGAATTAGGCTTGTGGTCAACGAGTCAGTTGTCCCTGTGGATTTAGAGTACTCGCCTGAAGATCGGAGTTATCTTTTCGCTGTCTATACTCTGAGGTTATAATCTTTATACTAATACGCTATGTATTTTAGGCATTGTCTTTTGATATTTTCCTTATTTGTAGCTATATATGAGATTTAACTTTCTGGGCTCATATATAGTGTGTATCTGATTTTGTTCTTAAAATTGGGTGCTACAAATTAGTCATTTCAATTAACGTTCATTAGTTATATAATAATAATAATAATTAATTTTTTATTTTATACGTAGTTAATATTATTAGTTAATACTTTTAAATAGTTTTAATGGAACAAATTAGTAAGATTACAAAATCAGTAATTAATATTAATAATTTTTAGATAGTTTCATATATAGTCTATATTCTTCACGGATAGGAATGATGTTGGATATTTTCGAATATAGATTGTTGGGATAAGCATATCCCCACATAAAGAAAAGTATGGTATGGTTACACACATTTACTTGTACCCAAAGGCCCTTTGCCAACTGGGAACAAAAGACATTACACATGAAGATGACTATTCCTTCTTTTACAGAGCATTACACATGAAGGGAATAAAAAGACATTATACTTCTTGTGTGGCTCTTTTGGGAGCCTTCGCCCCCCACATGAGCCTTGCTATGAAGAACCTGGGGGGGTAGAAGTGGTTAATGAACCTTCAGGCACGAGGCTTATAAGCGAATATGGATATACATAAGGCTGGATGGAAAACTCGATGCTCGTTAGCTATAACGAGCCAGCTTTTGACAAAGCCGAGCTGAGCCAGCTTTTTAGCTCGTTAGTTATAACGAGCCAGCTTGTTATCCTACCTAGCCAAACCGAGCCGAGCCGAGCCAACTTGATATCCAGGCGATATACATATTATAAACGAATAGAATATCCATATTATAAATGAATTAGAATACGAATATGGATACCCATATTATAAAGAAATAGGAATATCCATATTATAAAATATGAAATACTAAGGAATTAATCATGTCCTTTAAGAATACTATGTTGTTTAATCAAAGGTTTATAGTATTAAACAATAGGATAAGTAAAATCAATCTTATAGTCTAGAAAATCAATTAACCAATGCTCAAATTGAATTGGAAACAAACACTAACAATTGTTGCTAGGGTGAACACGATATTGATTCATTTATTTTATTTGTTCGAAGTTGCTGGAATGAAAAATCTTTTTTCACATTCCAGTAACATACAAAGTGGCGCCAAATCAGCTTTTCTCTTCCAGCTTTTCTAATTTTTCTCACCCACAGCGCACATGCCTCTACAGCCTTTAGGCGCCAAATCAGCCCCGCCGCCGGCTGGGCATGTGAATGAAAACCCAAAATCCTCCCGCGTCCAACCTTGATCTCTCCCCAAAATTCTCTTCCCTCCCGCTTCTCTCATTCCCACGGTCCACATTGCCTCTCCTCCGGTCCTTCTCTCCCTCCGCCAGGACTCAAATCTCCTCTCCGCCAGGAGCTTGCATACCAATCGCACTACGCTCGACGAGATCGTGTTCCTGCAGGTGACGCCGAGCTCCTTCCACCCCTCCTTTTCTGCATGTGACTTTGAGTTCCTGTGACCTGCGGATCCTGCCATCCCGTCGAATGTCGGTTTTCTACCGGCAGATCAATCTACAAGCATCTCCAATTTGCAGAGCTAATTTTTGTGGAAATTTCGTTCTTCCTTTTTGGGTGCGATTTGGGGCGAATCTAATGAGGGGTTTTGATCGTAAGATATGTGACAAGATATCTTTGTCATCAATCGATTTGATCCCCTCACAGACACCTTCAATTTGGGAGTTTGGCCAAGGTTTTCCCTTTTCTAGGGTTCCCAGAAACTGGAGATGAATTCGCAATCTTTAATTCTTTATTAGTGTTAGCGGTTAGAGTAGAACACCCATGAGATATGAGATAGTGGTGCCATGGTTTGGATTTCTTTTCCATCGGTCTTGATTTGGTTTGTTTGATGAGGTTTGAAGCAGCTCTGCTTCAGTTGCATACTGTGCCATTCCTGAAAACGTCTTCTCCAGAAGATGAAATATTTTGCCAGCTCTTCCTTTCATTGCTCGCCATGCTATTTTCATCTGATCTTAGTTCCCTACAGATGTGCTCCATCCTAGCAGCGGCCACTCCAACATTCCAAGGAGCAGGACACGGACAGCTCATCTCAGTTGTATAGTGCTGCTGCATATAGCTGTCTAGGTGATTTATTTACTTTTTTTTTTCTCATGGAAACACTTTTGTGGAGGGGGATTTAGAATTCAGCAGAGGAGAAAGAGGATTAAAAACATTGTAATTTTAGGTCGCCGGAGGAGCTGAGCTGCTGCACTTCGACAATTAGGTAAGCTGGTAGCAGTGCATCGGTAGCTTATCTGCTCATGGAGTTGCAGCTTTCATTTGCTCGCATAGGCAAGGGCAAAGTGCTAGCATTTTGTCATTCATGTTACAGAATACTCCGAGCAGCAGTTTAGTATTTTTTGTGAAATGTCCTATCATGATGCAGTGAATCCATCTAATTTCTGCTTTCTTGCTTTTAGTAATTATTTATTCAATACTTGCTAGCTTCTTAGGTTAGTTTTTTGTGCATGGTTGAAATGGGACAAAACAAAGGGCAGACTTTTCATATTTTATTTATAACCTTTGTTTCAGTTCTACTCAGTCTGTGTATACGACTTAGCGCTTGATTGTTTCACTAGTGTCATGGTATGTCAGCCTGTTTATTTAATTCAAGCTAACTGGACACTACTATATATAAAGTTAATTTTCAATCAAGCAAAACAATAACAGTGATTTTCTCCTAAATGTTAGGAAAAATAAATTATCATACACGTTAATTTTATATCTTATTTAATGTAAAGAACATTTTGGACTATTTTTGTTCGTATATATGTGTCATGCTCTAGACCATCCTAGTTGAACCATAGCACTTTATTTGTTCTCAAGCTCCAAGTTCAAATAACATTACAAATATGCACTTTAGTCAAATTGTTACTATTCGGTTATACTTGATTCTTATTTGTGAATTATCCTATGCTTTATTCTTATTTTCCTATTGGTGCTATATTTTATTTAGATTGTGCTACCATGGCGGTGAATAATTGGACCATAAATCTGGAATGCGATGGGAAAGCTGAAGGATATAAACATGTGCAAAGAGAAATACATAGAGATGAGATATGCTTTTTTGACTTGATTGATCTGATCGAGGGTTCTGGGTACACATCAGTCGACTATCTATACTACAAGAGAAAAGATAGCTTGGCTATAATACAACAAGATTCTGATGTGATGGAAATGCTCAACAAGTGTGAGAGCGAAAACACGGTTAATTTGTTTGGGACGAGGAGAGACTGGCCACTTTAGCGCCTACTAAGTCCAACAAAGAACCATCCAAATCTAAAAAAAAAAAAAATAAAGGTATTTGAATGAACATATAATTTACTTTTCTATGTATATTTGATTATTCAAGGACAACTATTCCAAGTCATGTTAGTTATCAATGATTTATTTTCATCCAAGATTAGCATATCCAGCCCCATCGTGGTATGTGACTTAATAAATACAATCTTGATAGTCTAATACAAATATCTAGTTGTTTAATAAAAAGATTACATATTGTTTATTATATTTTCTATAAATACGTGTTCATGTCCCCAACATTTGTTTAGCAGGAAGAGGAGGTACAAGGAAAAATAAAGGATTAAATGTAATGCATACTGAAGCACTATATGCTAACGAGGTTGAGCAGCATGATGATGAGAACCAGAACACATCAGGTACAAATGTAGTTAGATCAATCTCATTCATATGGACTGCATCTTAACCAATTACTATCACTATCATTCTGTTTTTAATAGGTGATGGCGATGAAGTACCTGGTAAATGAAAGGGGATTGTTTTAACACATGTTTGGGATCTACTTGGAGGAGATCGGATAGTAGTAAGATGTAATATGCCTGGACAACCCATTGGAAAAGAAGGTGGCCTTTTAGGATAATTTTTGGGCATCATAGCAAGAAATGGTGGTTACTGTCCTGTTGGTGCCAAAGATTGAAGAGAAGTTAAGAAAAACAATGCAGAAACCATAATTCAATTCATCCAGATTAGCTAAATTTTATAAGACATAATGTTTTTATAGGATTAAGTATATATATGCTTGTTATCATGTCATGAAGTCAAATTCATTCATTAGTGACTTTCTTATTTTAGACAAAGTTCTTATATCCTCATTCATGTGAGAAATGGATATTGAAATCAATTGGAAGAGATTAGAGAAAATACAAGACAACATTAAAAAAGTCATAATTTAATCCAAAGAAGAAAAAGTCTGTTTTGAACAAGCGTTGTCTAGATGATATCAATGAAGATCAATGGAAGGCCCTAGTAAAATATTGGAAGTCCAGCGAAGGACAAGTAAGGCACCATTATTGATGCTATTTGGCTTTTTTACTATCACTATCTATACCATTATTGATTTTTATATGTATAATGGTTCATTATCTATTAATTTACTTTTCTTGTAGACCCTAAGTGAGAAGAACAAAATAAGTTGTGAAATGAAGAAGACAACACATATGGCCGGTACAAAGAGTTATGCTCGTTGGTCTGAGGACATGGTGAGTCATCTTCTATTTAAAAAAATATATGATTCTTCTTACTTTTTCTTTACTGCTATTTTTTTAGAGGCAAACTGGTCCTGAAAAAAATCGCCACATAGAGCAAAGGTTTACCTCGCAACTCATAGGAAAAGGAGAAAAGGGATAAATGAACCAATGGTATGCTACATGCACATGAGAATTTTTGCAAATATAAAATTATTTCTGTTTTCTAATGTGCGGATTTCTTGCTTGTAGGTTGAACTGGAAAATCTCCTAGACACACAACCAGAGTTAGCACAAAATAGTGAGGGAGGAGTTGCATGGGAAGGTGATGCATTACATCGGTTGTTGGGAGAAGAGAAAGCCGGACAAGTGCACACCATGGGATTGCTTCCAGTTCCTAAACAAGTTTATGGTCGAAGAACACACCATTTTAAGGACATTAATATAGTTTCACTAGATGGCTCATCATCTGATGTAGAGACTCACATCTTGGAGGAAATAAGGCAACTCAAAGAGCATTCTAGAATGCAAGACAAAGTTATTGAAGAACTAAAAAACAATCAAAGGCACCATGAGAACCAAGAAGCAACAATGGTAACAATGTACATTTTTATTTGTAACTTCGTATTGAAATGTGTTACTCAAACTTTATTTTTTTCTAGGGAAATTGTGCTAGGAGTGATCATAACAATTCTTAGAATCAAGCGGTGCTTTCTAAAAGAAAGGTATTTGCTCTATTTTCCATGTTTTCACCTAATTTAGTCTTTTGGCTTTAATATTGTTTCAAATTTTTACAGAGTTCACTGTGTTGCACCGAACCAGAATGATGGATTCCTTGAGCACAGGGATGAATTGGTAAAGTCACTTTCTTGTGAATTTAATACTATTTTATTCACAAAGGATTTTTTTTATATTAACTCATGCTACTGTCTTTTTTCTCTTTACTAGAATAAAGAAACATGTGAGTCTGAATATAGTGATGATGACAGTCTACTTTTATCCACCACAAGTAAAACAACAAAGAAACAAAAGGTATCTATGAACCACACTTTGCTATATTTATAGAGGAATTTTTGTCTTAATATTTCATGCTTCATTTTATATGTGTAAGGGTCATCATGGAGGGCTTGGAGAGACTACGACCATTGCACACTAGGAGGTGGCTCATGACAAGGTTACATGCAACAAGCGTCAAGCACCTAAAAAACTTCCTATAATGAAGGTAGATGAACATAATACACTTGTTTTAATTGCATGATCTTGATGTACAACTAAGGGTTGTTGGTCACTAAGAGATTATGTCAAATTAATGTAGGTTGGGTCCATGGTGCTACTAATGACTTCAAAATATCCTAATAAGGCTAATGTGGCCTATGCAACTCTCTTGAGAACTGATCCAGAAGCCATTGTTGGTGGAGTTAAGATAGGAAGTCAATTCTACAAAGTGCGTATCGATCATGCTATAGCAAAAGATGAGTCATTAGTGAGGCCTAGGCCTGGGTGCAACAATATTTGTGATGCTCAAGCCAAAGGAGTCTCAATTGCTTGGCCTTCGATGTTTGTATGTTCAAACTAGCTTTCTTAACTTACATCATTGTACATATGTGGCCTAATTTGTAATCTTACAACTTACATTTTCTTTGCAGGTTCAAATGATTAATGGTTGAATTCCTACATCGATGTGTACAAAGAATAATGGAAGAAGAAGCAATAGACTTTATGAATCCTAGCTAGTTCTTGAATTTTTCTTTCTAGTATGGATTATGTGTGTTTGCTCTCTAGAGCCATATCGTTATTTACAAATACTATGATTTAATCTGAACAGGCACTATGTTTGAAATCATCCTACTATATGTGGATCTTGTTATGATTATTGAAATTTATGGTTTATGTGATTTTGCAATGTGTCATGTTTGTGTGATTCTATAATAATCCGTGTGCCACATATATAGGGAAACAAATATTTGTTTCCTAATCTGGATATGTTACAATAGATATAAACAAGTGTTACAAACCATGTGTTCCTTTGTTCCATACTGTGCTCTACCATAATGTAGAAGTGTTACTAGAACTAAAAAAAAGTGTTACAGTAGACAATCACTATAACACTAGGCAAATGTTCCCATAGATAAATAAATGTGTTACAAACTATGTATTCCACCATAATGTGAAGTGTTACTAGAGAAAAAAAGTGTTACAGCAAAAATCATTGTAACACTAGACAAATGTTCCTATAGACAAGTAGATGTGTTATAATAAACTAGTCTATAGTAACATGGCCAATTGGAACACACAAAAAAATGTGTTACTAAGAGAGCTAGTAACACTTTTCCCAACCTACAGTAACACAAGTTGGTGTTACTGTATCCATGTGCTGTTGTAGTGTAGTAGTGAACTAAAAACCTCAGCTATAGTTTGTTGCTTGTGTCTAACGATGTTATAAAGGCAAGTATATCGTTCACTCAGAGGTGAATTTCCAAACCATTTGTCCACCCAGAACCGCACTTGGGAACCGTCTTTAATTACAAAGGAGCCAAATCGAAAGAAATCATGTTTGACCTTCGTGGGACTTCTCCAGAAATGTGAATCCACACTTTTCCAATAAACTTGGGATAACAATTTTGAGTCTAAGTACTTATTCCTGATTATTTGTTGCCAAATCCCATCCGTTGTCAGCAGCTTGAACAACCATTTTGCTTAGGAGTGCAATATTCTTCAATTCCAAATCATGGATTCCTAACCCCCTGGTCCTTAGGTTAGCACAATATGCTCCTCTTGGAAAGGTGATACTTCCTTTTTTTGGTTGTCACTTTGCAAAAAAAACTAGGTCTGAAATAATCTAACTTCTTAAGCACCTCTCTTGGGATTGAAAAGAAAGATATCATATACATTGGAAGACTACTTAGAACTGAATTAATCAAGGTTAGTCTTCCCCCGATCGATAGATGTTTCCCACTCTAGCTACTCAATTTCTTCTCAAAACATTCTTCCACCTTATGCCAGTCTGTGTTCCTTAGCTTTTTAAGGTGAATCAGAATTCCTAGATAAGACCTCAGAAAGTTTCCATTTTACAGTCAAAAAGCTTGGTATTGTTGACACCAGAAGTGGCAAACGGGTATACCGCAAGCATACGGTTGTCAATGTAGCCTTCACTAGGAGTATTCTAGGTATCATATTTCTATGGGGAACGTGAAGTGAACTAACTAAGGATCAAGACCATCCTATGATGATACAAAAGAGCCTATGGAACTTGGGTTGAGAGGTTCTAGATAGCAATGATATCTGGTAAAGATATAGTAGTTATAAAGGGTTAGTCACCCACCCGCTTACAAGAGATGATAGGCGAGACAATAGGGAATGAAACCCTACCCGAAGCGGCTACCTTGTTGTATTGAGGCCCTACCTTTTAAGAACTTGTCTTACACATGTGGTGGACTATAAAGGCTAGACAGGGCTGTCACCATCTGCTAGCTACCACAAACTATCCATGCGACAAGCGGTCTACAGGCAAGATATAGTCTAGACACCACGTCTATAGTACACTTACTACTCTAACCTTCATGAGAGATTAGAGCACTCTACTAAAGTAAAGCGGTGTATAGGTAAGAAAGCTATATAGCTACTAGCAGAGATAGAATATCATACACTATAAAGAACTCGGATGTATTACTTACTAGAAGATAGCATCTGTCGAGGTACACCTTGGAGAAGACTCCCGATAGGCTCGGGGCTTTCTCCTGAAGACTTCCCTTACTCTCTCCCTAATTGCATAGCACTACAACAGAGCTTCGCTAAAAGCTACTAGAGAGTGGTTTACTCTAATGTGTCATGAATGAGAGTGAAGTCTAGGGTGTATTTATAGCTGGAGTGAGGGGTAGTGCCATGTCAGCGATCTAGGTGACTTCTCCTCCTAGCCCTTGGATCCCACCGACCTTGAACCAACCTTTGATCAATGGTTCAGATCAAGGGGGATGCATGGGGGCATGCATAGAGGCGGTGCACCAAAGTTGAGGTGGTTTAGCCACCTAAGGAAGTTAGCTGACCTCCTTATGGTTGGTGGGCCATGCCACCACCTTCTAGAAGGTGTCCCCATGTGTCATAGTGAAGGTTGGATACTTTGGTCACGTTGGATGCTTTGTTGTGGGTCTATGAATCTGTGTGCTCTCCTTTCTAGCCAATAGGAGAAGAGAACCTTGGGATCCAAAGGTGGAGATTAACTCTAGAAGTGTTGGGAGGATCATGGGAGGCTTGAGAGGGGGCATTGGGTCCATGTTCAGGATGGGTGACCTGCATATGGAGCCTCCAGCCACCCAAAGTCCATGCTTTGTGTACCTACAAGCAAATAATGGCATGTACATATGGAGCCAAGGTATTTGTACCTAAGTCACTATGTCTTTGCTTGTCAGCTCCTAGAAATAGTGTTTTGTTGATGGTTTTGATGATATAAAAACATGGTGAAATTACCATCAACAAGACCCCCACACTTAAGTCTTTGCTCGTCCTTGAGTAAAGGTTAGAGAGAAAAGAAGACAATGATCCTGACATCTTCAAGATATATAGCAATCATGAGTCTTATTCAAGACATACCTTATACAAGTGGGTTATGTGGCACTGTCTAGCATATATCCTTCAAATGTTGAGAAATGGAACAATTCTCAAAGCAAAGTCATCTTCCCTTTTTCACTTCTTGGTACTTAGAGTTTTTGATAAAGTTTTCAAAAAGAAAGCACATAGTTCAACCTTACTCCTCAAATAGTACTCTTAGATCACTCAAAGGTGTATGAGTCCTTACCAAGGCATAACATGAAGTTGCCTTGTTTTTGTTTCATCCTACATCTATTAGGCCTATGTGGAGCTCAGGTAGGGATAAACATGATAGCATACTTGCATTGCATATATTGCAAAATCAAAACAAGGATCCAAGGAGAAAACTATCATAATCCTATATCAAGATGTGCAAGTGTGTGGAAAATGATGATAGACTTTTTTTTGTACTCCTTAGACAAACATGATCTCTCTAACTTATGATTAGTTGAGATATGGCTATCTTCTTCTTTTTCTTTTTTTCTCTTTTCTGAACATGAGCTTTTCACTTTTGCTCACTTTTTTCAAATATCATTCCATAGCCATATCTCTTTTGTAAGAATTTTAGAGAGAAATCATACTAAACTTGGGGTATTTATTGATGGGAAATGAACAGCATGTTTCTGCGTACTTCTAGTGTAGAAGCAGCATATCTATGTCATGTGTACATGATCTTGATCTCAGGACTATGACAAAATTCTCAACAAGGGTCAACAAGGTTTGACCAAACTCAATACAAGTACAAGTAGCATATAAAGAAGGTTTTGAACATTATATGAACACGTTTGGCTTTCGTAGAAATTTTCTCACTATTGAGGAGTAAGTGGCACTATGGTTTTATGACATTTTGAAAAAAAATAAACCTCTGAGTACTTTGAATAGAAAAGGTATGAATAATAAGCCAAGAACCATATCACATTTATCAACAACTTAGTCAATATGACGGTCCTATTTAGATATGTTTCCCACAAGCAAAAGCATATGCAAGAATCAAACTTTATAAAGCTTCTACCCTTCAAATGTCATAAATCATGTCACTTTCTCAAACTTCATTTTTGGATGCTCACTGGTGGACCCAGGGGTCGATGATGTGGTCGGGCGACCCCACCTTGGGGCCTCTGGCTACCTTGGTGTTTGCCATCCGTGTCCTTACCTCTGAAGACATACTCCTGCGCTCGCGCTTTCTGGTTATGTGTCCATATGCAGGTCGCCCAATGCCAACAAGTGGCCATTGGGGCCCAGATTTGACGAGCAGACTTGTTTGGGCATGGACATCAATGTTCCATATTCATAGTGGTGCCAAGGTGTGTTTTGGGGGTCGTCCGACGCCCCCACACTTGGCTCACTGTGTACTGGTTCACAGAAACAAAGGAGATGTCAAGTGTAGGGGCTCTACTGGTGGCAACACACCAGCAGAACCAAAATTTTATTGATCTCATTAACTAATCATAGGCACATGTTACATTGATGAAAATAAAATAAAGGAAATGGAATCAAATAAACCTAAGTGCCTAAAATTATTGAGAGTGATGCTAAGATGCCTAAGGAGAGGGTGGAAAGAGAAGATCCTCTTGCCCTTTGGCCTTAGTGAGGTGCTTCATCTTCGCATCGGTGCTAATGTGAAGAGCGCGGAAGTTGTCATCTAGATCTAAGTGAGCCATCCTCAACTCCGCTACTCACTCTTCTAAAGCCCTATTATTGTTCTTAAGTGTAGAAACTACATGAAGGAGACTCTCCACATCACTCTCTAGATGGGTGTCCATTGATCAATGGTGGATCACACGTCTACCGGACCGTCTTTTGGGCGCTCGAGGACTCCAGCGACTCCCGAAGCTTCTTTCACTCTTTAGAGGTGAGCGGGGGTATGAAAATCTTGCCAGCCCCTGGACCACCACCAACAATCTTGCGGTTCTTCATGAAGGTAGGCGTCGAGGGTGTTATGAGTGGGAGTACTCCGCACTCAACACATCCCTCGAGGAGATGGTGATGGCACGCGGATTCTCCATCGCAGGGCTCTTCGCTTTGAGTCCTAATTGGCCCATGGTAGGTCTTTTGGGTGTTGGTGATCGGTAAGCCCATGGAG